AAGGGAAGCCCATCAGACTCACAGCAGACCTCTTGGCAGAAACCCTACAAGCCAGAGGAGAGTAGGGGCCAATATTCATCATCCTTAAAGAAAATAACTTGCAACTTAGAATTTCATATCCAGCCAAACTAAGCTTCATAAGTGAAGGAGAAATAAAATCATCTATGGACAAGCAATTGCTGAGAGATTTCATCACAACCAGGCCTGCCTTGTAAGAGCTCCTGAAAGCAGCACTAAACAAGCAAAGGAACAACCAGTACCAGCCACTCCAAAAACGTACCAAATGGTAAAAACCATTGATGCAATGAAGAAAAGGTGTCAACTAACAGGCAAAACATCCAGGTAGCATCAAAATGGCAGAATCAAATTCACACATAACAATATTAACCCTATATGTAAATGGGCTAAATGCCCCAATCAAAAGACACAGACTGGCAAACTGAATAAAAAGTCAAGACCCAACTGTGTGCTGTATTCAGGAAACCCATCTCACGTGCAAGGACACACATAGGCTCAAAATAAAGGGACGGAGGAAGATTTATCAAGCAAATGGAGAGCAAAAAAAAAAAAAAAAAAAAAAGCAGGAGTTGCAATCCTAGTCTCTGATAAAATAGACTTTAAACCAACAAAGATCACGAGAGACAAAGAAGAGCATTACATAATGGTAAAAGGATCAGTGCAACAAGAAGAGCTAATGATCCTAAATATATACGCACCCAATACAGGAGGACCCAGATACATAAAGCAAGTGTCTAATGACCTACAAAGAGACTTAGACTCCCACACAATAATAGTGGAGACTTTAACGCTCCACTGTCAATGTTAGACAGATCAATGAGACAGAACATTAACAAGGATGTCCAGGACCTGAACTCAGATCTGGACCAAGTGGACCTAATAGACATCTACAGAAATCTGTACCCCAAAGCCACAGAATACACATTCTTCTCAGTACATCGCACATATTCTAAAATTGACCACAACTGGGAGTAAATCACTCCTCAGCAAATGCAAAAGAACAGAAATCATAACAGTCTGTCAGATCACAGGGCAATCAAATTAGAACTCAGGATTAAGAAACTGAGAACCACATAATTCATGGAAACTGAACAACTGGCTCCTGAATGTCAACTGGATAAACAATGAAATGAGGCATAAAGATGTTCTTTGAAACCAATGAGAATGAAGACACAATGTACCAGAACCTCTGGGACACATTTAAAGAAGTGTCTACAGGGAAATTCATAGCAATAAATGCCCACATGAGAAGCAATGAAAGATCTAAAATTAACACCCTATGTCAACATTGAAAGAGCTAAAGGAGCAAGATCAAAAAACTCAAAAGCTAGCAGAAGACAGGAAATAACTAAGGTCAGAGCAGAACTGAAAGAGATAGAGACACAAAAACCCTTCAAAAAAATCAATCCAGGAGCTGGTTTTTTGAAAAGATCAACAAAATAGACCGCTAGCCAGATTAATAGAAAAGGGAGAAGAATCAAACAGATGCAATAAAAAACAGTAAAGGGAATATCACCACTGATTCCACAGAAATACAAACTACCATGAGAGATTCCTAGAAATAACTATATTTCTGCTGTGAAGCGCTCATCAGGTCAGCCGTAGTGCAGCAGCACGTGGATGCACTCGTGGCTGGAGGCCTGTCAGGCATAGGCCAGTGCTGTGTTCATGTGGGTATCTTGGCCCATGTGGGTATCTACGTCCACCCCATACCAGATCAGAAGCTGCACCAGGACCACACTCCCTTTGCCGCAGGCCAGATGCAACACCCTGTGACTCTCTTCCTCCCCGCAGGTCTCGTTCATCTAGGGAGTCATGCACCAGCAGCAGGATGGCCACTTGCAGGTCCTCATCAGCAGTGGCCCTCAGCACCAGGGACAGCTCCGTGCAGAGTTGGGGGCGGGGCAGGGCGGGCACTGACCAGGAAGAGCTTCTGCTTGTGTTTGGCCCACCCAGATCCACACGGTTCCTTCTCTTCCCTTGAGGAGTCTACTAAGGGTTTCATTCAACCCTGGCTGCTGTCTTCCCAGACACTGTTGGCTAGCTCGTTCCCGATGGATGACATCTCCTTGATAGCTTGACTGCCCAGTCATCCAGGTCCAGAGATCAGATTCAGAAAAGGTGGGTGCCAAGATTATGGTGGATCCCTGAGCACTCGGTGCACATGCGAGCTAAGTTCAAATGGCCCAGTTAGGATTCTGGGTCTCACAGTCCTCACAGTGGGAGTTCCCATGCATCTTCCGATTGACTGCAGGGCCATTCATTACCTTGCTCTGGTTCATCAGCTGGGACATGTTCTTGCTGCTCTCGCAGAACTGCAGGCTGGCCAGGATCTGGCTCTTAATGACTTGGACCCAGGCATTCTGCTCCTCATACATCAGGGCTTCAAAGTGCCACATTTGGCAAGTGAGGGAACAATGATAAACTTTAAGTTTTCTTGTTCTTCAGCAGTGCCAGACAGGACGTCGGCTTTGAAGTTGATGGTGCTTTTCTTCAGTGCCTCTTTCTGTTGGAGTGGGGCAGGTCAAGCTTGGGGCTGGTGGTGCTGCACATACTGGAGCTGGAGCATACAAAGTCACCCAGCCCTGTGTCTGAATGGGGTGAGCTGCATAAACTGCTCATGTCCTTGGATAGCCCATCGGTTTTAGAGTTGGAGATGGGCGCGCAAGCTGATGTGGCTTGGGGTGGTCAGAAGGTCAGTCTCCTTATCGAGAACATTCTGCATGTAATCACATCAGCTTGGATGATAGGTCAGCATGCCAGTGTCTCATGGGGCGACATACTTCTTTTTCCACTTTTTGTTCAAAGATTTGCCACTTTGCTTCATCAGCATTCCCCGTTTCATCGGGATGGCTTGGCCACTCCTGATGCTGTCCAGACAACTCTCCATTCCTTTCTTTTGTCTGTGTCACTACCTTTCGGAGAGGTAGAACCGATGCTTGGACTGTGCTTGTGAACAGGCATGGGTGTGTTGACAGTGGGAGAAACATCAATCTGAAGTTCCTTCTGGCTGGAAGGAACAGACCAAATGGCTTGGAGAATTGGGTAGCGACTTGCAAAGTCCTATGGAAGCTGACAATTATCTTTTAATAAGATACATTTTCAGCTGGGCATGGTTGCTCACACCTGTAATTGCAGCACTTTGGAAGGCCAAAGTGGGTAGATCATGAGGTGAGGAGTTCAAGACCAGCCCGGTAAAATGGTGAAACCCCATCTGTACTAAAAATACAAAAATTAGCTGGGAGTGGTGGCATGCATCTATAATCCCAGCTACTCAGGCTGAGGCAAAAAATTGCTTGAACCCAGGAGATGGAGGTTGCAGTGAGCCAAGATTGCACCACTGCACTCCAGCCTGGGTGACAGAGCAAGACTCTGTCTCAAAAAAAAGTTTCAGTTTCTCAGAAGAAACTGAAATGTCTCAAAGATCCCCAGGTAATACACTGAGGGTCCCCAGATGAAAAGCTAGTTTGGCTTCCAAAACTTCACACTAAGTGCTATCAGTTAACAGAAGTCCTGTTTCCAAATAAAGCCAGGGACCACTACACACTGGAGGGAAGCCTCCAACAAAAGAGATCAAAACAACAGAAAACGAATTAATAAGACCAGTCTAAATCAGGAGCAAAACTTAAAAAAAAATCTAAAAATACTCTAAAAATATATAAAATTCAATAAAAATAGTAGAGAACAAAGTCACAGAGTATCCCAGAAGTAGAATAAAAAACAAAAAAAACAGAAGGGGAAAAATTAAAAACCAACATAGGAATACTGGTCTAAGCAGCCTAGGTATGAATAAGACGACTCTCAGAAAAAAAGTAACAGAAAAAATAAAATTGTCAAGAAGAGATAGTCTGCAGACTTACTAGCCTTAAAAAAAATGAAAAGATCCCCACCAAGCTGTTAGGAAATTTCTGAATCTGAGAGAGAGAGAAGCTCCTAAAAAACTTCCACAGATACTTAGCAATTGGCTATAAATAATGTACCCCACAATGGCAATAGATTCAAGAACAAACCTGTAATGAGAACACAGTTGTAAAATACCTTCAGAACCATACAGTTTAGATTCAACCTAGAGGTTTACTCTCTATCAAGGAGGAGGGGTTTTAAGACTGGTCAGATCTCTATACATTTCCACCCAGGAAAATGTGTTCAAGTACAAGACAGGATAACAGGACAGAAGGAAACACAGAATCAGGACTCAGGTGATCCCACACAAGACGGTAGTTAATGTGTCATCACAGAAGACTTTAAGGAGATAGCACAGAAAAGCACTCTTGAACTAGGATGACAAAAGGCCGAGAAAGTTGCCCCACTCCCAAAAAAAGGAAATGTGTTTTAGCAGATGAAAAATACCTTTGAAAAGCATGTGATAAATTCTACAGCCCTTGGAGGTGGAAACAGATGTTAGAAAACAGGCAAGTAGAGTCAGAAAATTAGCTTCATGCTAAAAAATAATGGATGTGAAAGCAGACCACCCAGAGGCTACTGACTGCGTGTGGCTGGATAAACTAACATAGGCTTGGAAGAAAGAGAAGATCCAAGAGAAGGACAGAAGTGCTCAGATTTCAGAGGAAGAATGGAGGAAATGTAATGCAACGGCACTATGGAAACACCTTATGACTTCGTGAATAATATTTGCATAGTGATAACCATGTGTGTATCCCTGATTTAATTAAAACAGGCTACGATTGGAAGAAACGGAGAAAATCAGGTCCTGGTGTAGCGCGGAAGGTGTGCTTTCACTTGCTATGAAAGGAAGTCAATAGACAGTGCTGATAATTAACTTAGTGATTCTGTTTTTGTTATTTCACTAAAAATAAGATTAAATACTTAAAGCAGATCCTTCTACCACAACCAGACTATTGAAGTTAACTTAAATGTCAGAAATCCTTAACAGGTGTACACACTAAGCTAAAGACTCTTCTGTATGAATTTGATACTTAGGGAAATAGAAGAGATTTAGAAAATCCACAGTAAGAGGTCCGTGCACTGGGTCCCCATTATAATTTAAAGCAATCAAGAGAGATGTACTTTTACGTCAAACTATCAATTTCTTAACTTTTTGACTGTTTACTTATGTGGTTTATACACTTGCTTTCTCTTTTTTCTTGTGCTATGAAAAATAAAACTGGTCACTTTTGATACAAATACCAGAACATAAAAGTAGTTGTTATGGTCTTACTGATTATTCCTATGTAGAATGAGACAAAGTTCCATTTACAAATATTATTTTCAACAATTTATAATTTAAATTATCTGGCATAAATCTTAAAGTAAAATCTAAAATCTTTGTTTTTTTACCTAGTTAACTTTTTCTTTCTATTACATACAAATGAAAGAATGCTCATGTACAAAGGAAAGGGCAATAAAATGAAACCAGATGACAAATGTAGCTAATTAGAGACTTTAACTTGCATGTATGAGCCATGGTCCATTAGTATTCTCCCGTCCTGCATTTACACATAGGTTGCCTTAATTGCCAGACCCTAAGAGCTAAGAGCGCTAATAACTACTTTGGGCCGGGCACCCATCTCTAGACGCACCAGAAGCCCTGTAAGCATCTCGAACCACACTTAGTGGTTATTGACTAATATGTCACTAAAAAACAAACAAAAAAAGGGTCTTTACACAACTAGAAAGTGACCTATCTTAAATTTTAAAATGAATATACAAATCTAATTGGACATGGTGTCTGCAGCACAATCTTTTCTTTCTAAAAAAAAGGCTAGAATGGTAAAAGCTCCAAGAGGGGCTTGGGCCATGCTTTGGTTCCTACGCTGCCTCCGCCTTCGATGCTGGAAGGGCCTTGTAGGCAGACATTCCTGCCACTGAAGAGTGAGGGACATGGAATAGCTTTACCATTTCCATGCTCTCTAGGTGTGAGAAGCCAATGCTCTGGAAGGAACTGGGAAATACAATTCTGATACGGATTGGATATGTTCTCCCTCCAAATCTCATGTTAAAATGTGACCCTTAATGTTGGAGACAGGGTCTAGTGGGAGGTGTTTGGGTAATGGCGGTAGATTCCTTATGAATGGCTTGGTCCCATCCCCATGGTAATAAGCAAATTCTCATTCTGGGGGTTTAAAACAGTTTCATACCTTCCTCCGACCCTCTCTACCACCTCTCTCCATATGTGGAGCCACCTGCTTCCCCTGTGCCTTTCATCACGATTGTAAGCTTGCTGAGGCCCTCACCAGAAGCAGATGTTGAAGCCATGTTTGTACAGCCTAAAGATCTATGAGCCCATTAAACCTCATTTTGTTGTAAATTACCCAGCCTTAGTTATTACTTTATATTAATGCAAAAATGAACATAAATTCTAACCAGAAATAATTGACTCAAGACAGGCAAAGTCTACTCAAACTAGAAAAAGGTTAACAAACTCCCATATTTTGCTATGCTACATTACTTTGCATATTATTATAGGACCCTCACTAGTGTGCCTGCTGTTTAAACCAACTGAAAAACTTGGCTATGCATGGCTTTCTAGCAAGTAAGTGAGGATTGAACATAACACTGAGGAAAATAAGCAGGAGTAGGGCATGTTTGAATTTACGTTTACATCAAATGAGATTGTTAATAACTTAAAAGTTTTGAGTAGCATAAACTTGGATGTGATAAACGCATGTGGTCCGAGGACTGTGTAAGAGGAAGCCAAAAGCACAGAGTCAATCCCCAAGGATGGACAACCATGTTTTTTCATTTTTTTAAATGGAAACCAAGCCGAGTACAACAAATTATAAATTGTTGAAAATAATATTTGTAAATGGAACTTTGTCTCATTCATCTTCCATCATTCATCTTTAAAATGTGCTCTTTGAAGCAAGGGAAAAGGGACAAAGAATGATGAATAAAGACACACCTATGACGCCTCCATCACATGACAAATTGTGTTGATAAAAGATGGCAAAATGTATAAACAAGAAGTTTCCATGTTTTCACTAACATGGTAACAAAGCAAAGTACATCACACGTTAAAATGGGACAAGTGACTATGTGAGAAGTTGAAAATTTTAAACCAATATGAGTTTTTCTAAATGCTTTGTATAGTACATCTGATCAAACAAGAGTTTTCACCTTTTCTTGACAGAAAAAACAGTGTTGTCTGTTGTCTCACCATGTGTTGGAGACGTCCTGAGGCGTATCGTGCTTGCATCTGGTTGGTCAGAAGTGTTGTACTCAAAGCTGTGTCTATAGAGGGAGACAATAAAAAAAGATGTGACCATTGATAAAAGTGAATCAACTCGTTTATTCGGCTGCTGCATTTAGGCTGTTTACCTACCTCTACTTTTATCTATTGAAATGAATGTATAGACATAGGATAGAACCAGGCAAGATGGCACACGCTTGTAGTCCCAGCTCCTCAGGAGGCTGAGATGGGAAAATCCCTTGAACCCAGGTCAGGAATTTGAGGCCACCATGAGTAACACAACGAGACCCTCCTTTATTTAAAAACAAACAAAGGAACAAAAAAAGAAAAATGTTGGCTTTGAGTCGTACAAAATCAGCTTTGCATAAAATAAATCAAGATGGCAGTACATTTTAAAAGACAGGTCTATTTTATAGGCAAAATATGTATCCTGGAGTTTAAATTAAAAAAAAAAATTCGGCATATCTGTCATTTCCATGTCATTCTGAGGACACAGAACCTTAGTTCTGTTAAGTAGCTGTCTTCCATAGTCATGTGAGATCTCTAAGTCTTTATTTCTTCATTAGCAATACATAGGGAGAACGAACATACACAGGCTGCATTTGTATTGAAAAGGGCCAAATGACACATAAGTAAGCTGTGTTGTAATCCTAAAGAATGACAATAGGCTGGGCAAGGTGGCTCATGCCTAAATCCTAGCACTTTGGGAGGCCAAGGCGGGTGGATCACGAGGGCAGGAGTTCAAGACTAGCCTGGCCAAGATGGTGAAACCCCGTCTCTACTAAAAATATAAAAACTAGCTGGTTGTAGTGGCGAGCACCTGTAATCCCAGCTACTCGGGAGGTTGAAGCAGAGAACTGCTTAAACCCAGGAGGTTGCAGTGAGCTGAGATCATGCCACTGCAACTCCAGCCTGGACAAAAGAACGAGACTGTCTCAAAAATAAATAAAGAGCCCCTTTTGGAATCTCATTTGTCACTACTCATTTACTAACTGGCATGTAAAATTACTCAGAGGCTTTCCTTACACCACCAAGTAGAGTCTTTTACACAAGTACTTACATGCTTTGTGTATAAAGGTATAATCTATTAATTCGCATATTTGTTTATTCTGAAGCAATCCTTAAATATCTTAAAAGTGAGTATAGTACTTCCAAGTTACAGAGTGACACTTATCATGTCTTAATTATCCTACCTCTTAAAAAATTAAGAGCCCAACCAAAGTTTAAATAGAAAAGCTAGAGCTGTAAGACATTTCCTCTACAGTGATGAAATCTCTGGCATTTAAATGAAACCAAGGAGCCAACGTGATTTAGTATCTTTATGATATAATGTTTTCTATTTTGAACATTTTAGTTTTTATTCAAGAACCATATTGTTAACCAGAATTATTTTTACTTAGATTCATCTCTGCAGAATTTTAGAGGCAAACCAATTGTTCTCTCTTTTCTACTCCCTCCCGTCCCCCTGCCTCTGTAGAGATGGAAAAACTCCAACTTTATCTTTCAACAAGATCCTACTGTCAGGATGGGGAAGGACAAAGGGGGAGCCACTGCAACAAACACTCTTACACAGGCAAGGTCTGGCACTTTAACCTTCAGTCTTTACATAGCACATGTAATAGTCAACGTTACATGTCTTTGGAAAGTTTTGACCACCAACCATCCCCACCTGTCTTTCAGAACAAGGAGGTAAATAAAGCCTGTTAAGTCCACCAGATTAAGTCTGGAGACATATTTTGTGTTAAAGTAAGAATTTTAAAGTAATCAGAGCCTCATGGGTAAACTCCTTTGGGAGAAAACCTCCAAATACCCACCCATTTTTCTGCAGCCCTGGCCGTGACATTTCACACCTTTCACAATTATTTTAAGTACCCTCCATTTTCTTTCCTTCTGTGTTCAAATTACAGTTAGAAGAAACTAAGCAGTTTCTATCAAGGTGACTTAAGGCACCCCATTAAGAATACCATATAGTCTCTCCCATAGCAACCTCCATTCTGATTTTAAATAAGAAATCCCCAAACATTTGAGTATGAATTGTCCTGAGATTTAGCTACTTTAACAAAGGAAACAATTAGGCACTTATCTGGTTTCTTAACTTAGGTAGCATCTAGGTAGGTACAAAGAAAGAACAAGATGGGTAGTGGAAAGTTGGGATATTTCAGTTTTTATTGAGAAAAGGGAGAATATTTCAAAGAAGCCTCAACAAAGTCCCCACAGCCTAATAAATAAAGCTACAGAGAAGAGGAGTCATAAATAAATGGTCCTATGCCAGCCTGGGAGAATGAGATGAGGGAGCAAGAACTGGGCGTTTGGGAGGGGAGGAGAAAGGAAACTGACTGGACTCTCTGCAGAAAGACTAAGGGGTAGGAAGGTAAGGAAGAACCAGCCTTTGTCCCTGGCCAGCTCTGGGAAAGCTGACTACGGCCTGCCATCGTGTCCCCAGCTGCTGCATCATAGATCTCAGCTTCACAGGGACACAATGACCCCTGGTGCTGTTCCAACTCAGGGCTGGCCCTGGGGCGCACACAGCAGGTCAGTATGTTCCCCATGGGGCGCCTCTACTCCTGTCTGCCACCGCCTATGCCTCTGCTGACAGCTTTGGCCACACCCTCCTGCTGCCCTAAGCTGAGGCTATGCTGCAGTTGCAGAGACCGTCTTGCTGCTGCTCGCCTGCCCACCCCACAGCCCAGTCCCAGCAGGGGCTCGGGCCAAGCCCTGCACCCTGCTGCCTCCCCTGAGTTGACTTGTCTGGGAGGGTGAAGACCAGCTGACTTAACAGGTTATGAACCAAACAAGCACTGAAAGACATAACTGCCTGAATGGAGTACAGACGGAGCTCCTCCTTAGGCAGTCACCTACAGACTGAAGCCCACTGGCCCAGGTGGGAGCCCAGGCATGTGGCTCACAATGCCCCACCCTGACTGCCTCACCTCCCCCACATCTCAGAATACCCTGCCTAGGCTGCTCTCCTGGCAGAAGGGGAAGCAGGCACGTCTTAAGAGGTGACTGCACAGAGTATAAGCATGTGAAGGAGCAACTGTCAAACACGTATAAAACCATCAGATCTCAGCTGGGCACAGGGGCTCACGCTTGTAATCCCAGCACATTTGGAGGCTAAGGTGGGTGGATCATTTGAGGTCAGGAGTTTGAGACCAGCCTGGCCAACATAGCGAAACCCCGTCTCTACTAAAAATACAAAAATTAGCTGGGCGTGGTTGCACCTGCCTGTAATCCCAGCTACTGAGGAGACTGAGGCAGGAGAACTGCTGGCACTCAGGAAGTGGAGGCTGCGGTGACCCAAGATTGTGCCACTCCACTCCAGCCTGGGCAACAGCGTGAGAATCTGTCCCAAAAACACCACACACAACTCCATGAAATCTCATGAGAACTCACTGAGTATAGTAAGAACAGCATGAGGAAAACTGCCCCCATAATCCAATCATCTCCCACCAGGCCCCTCCCTCAACACATGGGGATTACGGGGATTACAATTCAAATGAGATTTGGGTGGAGACGTGGCCAAACTGTATCAGAAAGTAAAGGCAGAAGTCATGCTTGGAGGGGAAGTGACGTTGTAGATTAGTATATTTTTAAAAGAACTCTTTTTGTTTTGAGACAGATTCTTGCTCTGTTGCCCAGGCAGTGGCATAATCTTGGCTCACTGGAACCGTCGCCTCCTGGATTCAAGTGATTCTCATTCAAGTGCCTCAGCCTCTCAAGTAACTGTGATTACAGGAGCCCAACACCACATTCAGCTAATTTTTGTATTTTAAGTAGAGACAATATTTCACCATCTTGGCCAGGCTGATCTTGAACTCCTGACCTCAAGTCATCCACCTGCCATGGCCTCCCAAAGTGCCGGGATTACAGGCGTGAGCCACCGCTCCTGGCCAGAACATTTTTTGATGTGGATTTCAAAATGCCTCCGTTTCATTCAACATTAAGTCCCTGCCCCATGCCAGGCACTGTATGTATGAAACAGTCGCAACTCTCAATGGGCGTAGGCAGGTACGGAAAGGCTTAAGGAGTTTGTTTTCCGAGACCGTACTGCTGGACAGTGTATTAACCTGGGATACAAACCCACCTCTGTTTGACCCCAAATTTGATGCTAGTTTTAATTATATTCTGAGGATTGGAGTCATTGAACTATACAAAGATGAGGAGTGTCTGTCAGATGTTGTGTAGTGGTCTGTTTAATAAGGAAGAACTGAAGGGAGCAACAAGACTAATTAAGAGACTTCAAAGGAAGAGTAATGCTACAGGCAGTGGCAGTGACAAGAGTGGAGGAAAACGTTTTGCGATCATCTGGGAGACAGAATAGGAAGTGCTTGGTCATGAGATCTGAAAGAAGAGGGGAGGTAGAGGGAAAACAGAGCTGCTCAGGCTCTGCTGGGGAAGACTGGGTACGCAGCAGTGCCTTCCTCCTGGCACAGAATGTAGGAAGAAATAGGTGAGGAGGAACAGAGTTTCTTTACTCTCAGTGTCACATTAAAATCAATTCTCTGGTCAAAAGTTGAATATCAATCTCTGTAGGCTACATCCATTTCTGGCATCCCAACATGTTTTCAAAACCACACACATACTAAATCAAACTATTAAGAGTAACTGGGGAAATTTTCTAAAATGAGCATGTTAAGAATATCACCATTTTTTATTACTTTCATGGAGTAACTTTGAACCTCTGATTACAGAAATGAAAAGCAGACATCTTCTCCTTTTAAATTTCCCCAGTTACTCTTAATAGTTTGATTTAGTATCTGTGTGGTTTTGAAAACATATGTTGGGATGCCAGAAATGGATGCAGCCTACAGAGATTGATATTCAACTTTTGACCAGAGAATTCCATTTTAATGTGACACTGAGAGTAGAAAACTTTTCCTCCTCACCTATTTCTTCCTATGATTATAGCAAGTGAGGGATCTGGTATAAAATAAAGTTAATACACGCAGCAAAACATTTAGAATTCTATTGTCCTCAGAACAGAGAAGGCAATGGAAGCCATGGGCGTGGGAGTGATTGCCTTGAGAAGTTGTGTATAGTAAAGAGGAGTGCAGAGAAAAGACCTGGGGAATAGGGCGATTTACACGGCATTAAAGTCGAGCTTACAGAATTGAGCAGTAGGAGTCAAGGGACCTGAGTATGAATCAGGAACAGCTGCTCCCCTGAGTCACTAGAAAGGAGAAGATGTCTGCTTTTCATTTCTGTAACAGCAGCACCTAGCACAGGGCCTGGTCAATAGATACTCAATATGTATAATCTCAATGCACAGAGTCAAGTGTTGCCAGGAGCGCAGGACAGCTACAAATCAGCTATGGCAACTCAGTGACTGGGCTTGCGTCCGTGTGAGTGAGCGAGCCGCGTGTCAGGGCAACTCGGTGACTGGGCTTGCGTCCGTGTGAGTGAGCGAGCCGCGTGTCAGGGCAACTCAGTGACTGGGCTTGTGCGTGTGAGTGAGCGAGCCGCGTGTCAGGGCAACTCGGTGACTGGGCTTGCGTCCGTGTGAGTGAGCGAGCCGCGTGTCAGGGCAAATTAGTGGACTGGAGGTGAGAAAACAATGACACAACCGAGGGCTTCTCTCCCTGTATCTGGCTGAGAGGAGGAGGGGGCAGTGGCAGCTAAAGGAAAACGCGTGGTAAAGACAGCCTTTCATTCCAAGATTCCACAAAAAGGGTGAGGGTACTTCTGTGTTAAAGCGAAAGAGCCAACAGAGAAAACACATTTTTGAGGTTAGAAGAGAAAGAAGAACGAATGCACGAGGGCCCCAAAGGCACAGGTGCATGCAATCCGGATTTGGGAGAGATTAGCTTTGGACTCCTACAAAATCAAGAAGGGAGAAAGGACCATGTGATACTTCTGGTCTCTAGAGAGATTTCTGGTAGAGGAAAGGTTAAGGAAGAGATCTTTCTATGATCTTTATTTTAACAGACTTTTCAAAAACCTATTGTGGGGAAAAAGGATATTATGTATAGAGAAGTCTGCACTTCTTGATACACCTAACCCCAAAAAAAGCTTAAAGCACCAAACAAAACCCAAATAATGTCTTCCCTAAAAGTGGGTAACACCACCATGCCTGGCTAATTTTTTTTTTGCATTTTTAGTAGAGAGGGGGTTTCACCATGTTGGCCAGGCAGGTCCCGAACTCCTGACCTCAAATGATCATCTACCTTCCTTGGCCTCCTAAAGTGCTGGGATTACAGGTATGAGCCACCACACCTGGCCAAAGCTCTTCATTTCTATGTGCACACCCAGTAGAAATGCCTAATGTTGATGACGGCTTGAAGGGTGCAGCAAACCACCATGGCACATGTATACCTGTGTAACAAACCTGCACATTCTGCACATGTATCCCAGAACTTAAAGTATAATAAAAAATTCCAATCATGTTTAATTCATATTAAAATCATTGATTTAACATGAATGCCTTTATTCAATCACATCATCTTAAATTTAGTGTTAGGAATAAGTGATATACTGTATTTATAGAGAACATTCAGAAAGTTTCAATACCTACTTTCAGCTTATTCTTTCCAAGTGACTTTTAGACCTCTAGAAATGGATCATTATAAATCAGATTCTAACTTCACAAAAGAACATGTTATACAAGCATTTCTCAAATTACAGACCCATCTCAATGTTTACTGCTGTTGGCGATAACTGTTCAGGAGGACATTATCCAGATTACAACACGTTTTCTAAAGTCGTTCCATTTTATTTCTTATAAGACCAGTTCAAATCATAAACCTAATACATAATCAAACAATTACGTTGTTTCCAAATAGGCCTTTTCTTGTATATTTGAATTTAATCCCCACCTCTACAATACCACTTTATTTATGAGTATAAGAAACAAAACAAGGCCAAGCGAGGTGGCTCACGCCTATAATCCCAGCACTTTGGGAGATCGAGGCAGGCGGATCACTTGAGGTTAGGAGTTCGAGACAAGCCTGGACAACATGACAAAGCCCTGTCTCTACTACAAATGCAAAAATTAGCCAGACATGGTGGCACATGCCTGTAGTCCCAGATACTTAGGAGGCTGAGGCAGGAGAATCGCTTGAACCCAGAAGGCAGAGGCTGCAGTGAGCCAAGATCACGCTATGGCACTCTAGCCTGGGGAACAAGAGCAAGACATCATCTCAAAAGAAAAACAAAAAAACAAAAAAACATTGTTTCCTGAGTCTAATTAAGGATAGTAGGAGAGAAAAAAGTCTGCTTTCTAGAAAAACATAATAGCTTCACTTAAATAACTTACTGAAGATGTCTAATTACGATACGGCTAACATAATACACTGGGACTGTGCGATAGAATGAAATAGACAAATTCATTAATAGAGTTCAGCTTTCCTTCTTTGTGGGGAAAAAAGCAACCAAATGTTTGTGTTCCTAAGCTGCCAACTTTTTATTTTTGAGACAGAGTCTCACTTTGTCATCCAGGCTGGAGTGCAGTGGTGCTATCTCAGCTCACTGCAACCTCAGCCTCCCGGGTTCAAGCGATTTTTCTGCCTCAGCCTCCTGAGTAGCTGAGACTACAGGCACCGCCACCACGCCCAGCTAATTTTTGTAATTTTAGTAGAGATGGGATTTCACCATGCTGTCCAGGCTGGTCTCGAACTCCTGACCTCAGGTCATCCGCCCACCTTGGCCTCCCTAAGTGCTGGAATTACAAGCATAATCAAGCTTTCATTATGACCACTCCACCCAAATACATCCAAATTCCCACCCGAGTACAAGGAATAACACAGTGCTTCCTATGTAACTCATCAGTAATAGCTTAATTCTAAATACAAAACATTAAACAGAAATCCAGTGTTATTATTTTGATGTCTTCCTTTCCTGCCTAACAAAAAAGTTTCAAAACTAAAGTAGATATAGTTTTCCAAGTAGAGTTGGAAAAGTAGAGTTGTTGACAGATGCCCAGTCTTTTCAATTATCCGAGTGGCCCTGCTTGGGGTGGAACACGTTCAGTCACATTTAGTTATAAGATCTCTGACACCGATTTGAAAGGGAAAATGCAAGCCAAACCCTGTCAGTTCTACTCTGGAAAAATCAGTCCGTGGTAGTACTGAGAGTAGAATGTATCACTCCGAATCTCTCTCGTGTCCAATCAAGAACAATGAGAATTTAAAGCTATAAACCAGGAAAATATTTCAGACATCCTGCTCCAAAAGGAAGACAGATTGACAAGTTGTGCTTTCAGTACCTCATCAGGTCTTCTACAAGTCAAAGGTAAAAGAGAAGGGTTGACAGCGAACGATTCGGTTTCTCGTGAATGGACTGCCCCACGAGGTATGCCAGCTTGTGGGCATAGTGGCAAGGTGCTGGAACTCGAATGGTGCCCTTTAGTAGAAAAAAAGAAAAACACAACTAAATATTTTTCACTTTACATCTTTCCCTAAATTTAAGTTCATCGAAGCCAATGCAGAGGTCCAACGTTGTTTAATCTTGAATATTACATTTAAAATATCTAAAGAGAAAAAAAGTACTTACTGGCAAATTATAATACATGTGGCACAGACAGTAAGTTAAACGCTGCACTGTATCTGGGCTCAAGCCAATCGTGTCATAGATGACGTTATAATGAGTGGGGGTAACAGTCCCTTCTTTCACATGCTGACTCACGACAAAAAAGTCATACCTGGAATTAGAGGACATGTGGGTATCAGCTCATTTGAAAAAGAAGGTATAGTAAAGCTGATGTCTGAAATGAAAACATCTAGTATAACAGCTTACAAAGATCTCTTCTGTAGACTTAAGTTTCCTTTACATTCAGAAACCTGTGTAACTGATAAACGATGTGAGAAAGCAAATCTGTAGAAGGCAATTAAATAACTGACACAGATAGTAACTCTCCTAGGATTTTGACTTCAAATATATGCACTGAAACCTGGAGGACGAAACAAGACTGGCACATTTGATCTGATACGGGTGTAGATAATTATGTTCAGAGACCCTGGGATGAAGACCTGCTGCCTCACTGAGAATCACTGGACTATAAACTTCTTAGACGGGCCGGGCGTGGTGGCTCATGCCTGTAATCCCAGCATTTTGGGAGGCCGAGGCGGGTGGATCACGAGGTCAAGAAATCGAGACCATCCTGGTCAACATGGTGAAACCCCATCTCTACTAAAAATACAAAAAATTAGCTGGGCATGGTAGCACATGCCTGTAATCCCAGCTACTCAGGAGGCTGAGGCAGGAGAACTGCTTGAACCCGGGAGGTAGTGGTTGCAGTGAGCCGAGATGGCACCATTGCACTCCAGCTTGGGTAACAAGAGCCAAACTCTGTCTCAAAAAAAAAAAAAAAACAAAACTTCTTAGACAATACAAGCAGTAAGATTGCTTTATGTGTATTATGTTGAATTATTTTTATGTGTACAATCTTATGTTGTACTTTATAATAATTTTTATTTGCTCTTCTCTTTAATCCTTTCCTGCCTTCTCCTAGATTGATCAAATGTTTCTGCTTTTCCTTCACTTCCCCCCAATTCTTGTTATGAATGTCACGATTTCCTACTGTGGTTTCACATAAGTCTTTCATTTGTATAACGGACTTAACAAGCAAAAAGCATCAGAAGCTTTTATCATTTTCGTTAATAACTGAAAAATCTTAATATCCTTTAACCTCATAACTCCTTTTCTGTGTGTTACATTCAATATTTTAGGTCCTGTTATAATATACCCTATAAATTAGCCATTTATGAAATCAAGGGTTTTTTTAATACTCCGTTGTTACTAATCAGCATTGCTTCTTGCATTTCATTCTCACTTAACTGTTCAATTTCCTTCTTCCTAAAATACAGTCTTTTGGGTAGTTCTCTCAGTTAGGGTCTGGTGAATCTGTTAATGTATATACTGTATATAACTGTTTGTATTTCACTGTCACCCTTGATAAGTTAGCTGGGTATCAAATTCTAGCCTGACAGCTATTTTTAAGCATTTTAAAGATACTTCATAGTACTCTGGTTTCCACTCTTGCTGAAGGTGATTTTTATTGTTTGTAAATATTTGTTCCTCTAGTTGCTTTTAAATTTTCTTATGCTTGCTGTCTGAAGTTTCACTATAACATTTCTAAGTGTGAACTATTATTGATCTTTGCTCAAATCCTTTTATTCTTCAGTCTGAGGATTCAGAATCTCAGACTTTCTCTTTGAATATTGCTTCACCCCACGACACCCCCATCATATCTTATCTACTACTGAAACTTCTATTTGATATTGAACAAATCTTATTTTGCCTTATATTTTTCTAAACATTTTTTTCATATCTTCCATATCTTTATGACTCTCCACTGCATTTGGGAATTTTGCAAACATATGTTCCAGTTAACAATTTGTTTTTTTATGTCTAACCTTCTCTTTAACCCTTCCACTGATTTTTCTTCATTTCAATTATATTCATGTTTGTTAGATATTCAAATACAAATTGACCTTTATATTCGACATTCTTATGGCCTTTATTCCTTTTTGTATCTTTTATTATTTTAATATGTTTTTACATAAAATGCCTGCAACCATTTCATCTTTTGGAAGTTGTGTGTCTAATCCTAATGTCTTAAAGTCTGGCCTCTCACTCATAATGACTTGCTTCCTCATAACAAGAAAAAGACTTTTTTTTTTTGAGATGGAGTTTCACTCTTGTTACCCAGGCTGGAGTACAGTGGCACAATCTCAGCTCACCGCAACCTCTGCTTCCTGGGTTCAGGCAATTTTCCTGCCTCAGCCTCCCGAGTAGCTGGAACTACAGGCACATGCCACCACGCCCAGCTAATTTTTGTATTTTCAGTAGAGATGGGGTTTCACCATGTTGGCCAGGATGGTCTCGATCTCTTGACCTCATGATCCACCCACATCGGCCTCCCAAAGTGCTGGGATTACAGACTTGAGCCACCTCACCCAGCCAAGAAAGACTTCTAATTCACTGTTCGGAATTACTTCCTTGTCTCCATGAACAACAGGGCTAACTATATGAAACGAAACCATTTTGTAGCTATTCAGTATTACCTTCTGAACACATTATTTCCTTGTTCAGATTCTTAGGATTAAGTGTCATACAAAATGTTTCACATAAGAAGAACTGGTCTCTTTTTGCACACTGCTGTTCTTAAGCAGAAAGAAATTTTAAAAATAGAAACCTCTGGCCGGCCATGGTGGCCCATGCCTGTGATCCCAGCACTTTGAGAGGCCAAGGCGGGTGGATCACTTGAGGTCAGGAGTTCAAGACCAGTCTGGCCAACATGGTGAAACCATGTCACTACTAAAAATACAAAAAATTATCCAGGTGTATTGGCGGGCACCTGTAATCCCAGCTACACAGGAGGCTGAATCAAGAGAATTGCTTGAACCTGGGAGGTGGAGGTGAAGGTTGCAGTGAGCCAAGATCATGCCACTGCACTCCAGCCTGGGAAACAGAGCAAGACTCCATCTCAAAAAAAATTAATTAAAAATAAATAAATAGAACCTCTCAGGGTACTGCATAAACATTTTGATGGTCATGATATATTAAATATAATTTGATTTGTGATGACTCTAAATTGTCAATATAAAGATCACTTGCTATCTTTTGTATTCATAAGCAAGGGTTTTAGGGCCACAATGAAGTTAACTCTTAGGGGGTCAAGACATTTATAAAAGTTTGATGGGCTGGGCGCGGTGGCTCACGCCTGTAATCCCAGCACTTTGGGAGGCTGAGGCGGGTGGATCACGAGGTCAAGAGATCGAGACCATCCTGGTCAACAAGATGAAACCCCGTCTCTACTAAAAATACAAAAAATTAGCTGGGCATGGTGGCGCGTGCCTGTAATCCCAGATACTCAGGAGGCTGAGGCAGGATAATTGCCTGAACCCAGGAGGCGGAGGTAGAGGCGAGCTGAGAACGCGCCATTGCACTCCAGCCTGGGTAACAAGAGTGAAACTCCGTCTCAAAAAAAAAAAAAGTTTGATGAAGCAACTTCAACCACCACAAGACTAATCGCAATTTCTAGATCCAAATGAGGAATCCCTGCCTAATAATAAGAAAACAGAGACCAAATTATCTGTAAAGAATAAGAAATGCTTTCAGGTAAAGTTATTGGAATTAAGTGATTGTGCTGAACTGAAGCAAATTAAGAAAATTATAGAACCAGATGCAAAAAACACAGGTGGCTTACCATTCATTCCTAGTCAACTCTACATCAATAACTGTTCCTGGACGTGGATTTTCAAAACGGCTTCCACATTTAAGAAAAAATCTAGTGTTTATTCGTTTCTTCACCACAATGAAAGCTAGAGCAAAACTTTAAACAATTAGGGTAAGTGTCAATGTTTACTCAGTCTTATCACAGAAGCGTAAGCGTATTAAAATATCTATTTTACATTCAGGACCCGTTAAGAAGAATGGACAGCAACCCTCCTTACACCCTGATTTTACTGTCTAAGCTCCATGTGCCCGATTAAAGCAGTAAATGAGGAGGTATTTATTCATAGCCACCCACATCCCAGGGGAAGGGTCCCTTCCTCCCAAATTGAGAACCATTCTTAACATTGCTGCTGGGCAGCGGGCCCTCATAAAACAGGAGTTTTACAAAAGTGGAATTCTGTAGGTTTACTAAGTCTTAGGGCTGGAGATCCCCTTCAGCTGACGACACAGGATAAAATAAGGATAAGAGTCTACTACTGGCAGACTACATTCATGGATTTCTTCTTTTTTTGAGACACAGCCTCACTCTGTCCCCCAGGCTGGAGTATAGTGATACAATCTCAGTTCACTGCAATCTCCGTCTCCTGGGTTCAAGCGATTCTCATGGCTCAGCCTCCCAAGTAGCTGGAATTACAGGCACAAGCCACCACACACAGCTAATTTTTGTATTTTTATTAGTACAGATAGATGGGTTGTTGCTACGTTGGCCAGGCTGGTCTCAAACTCCTGACCTCAAGTGATCCGCCCACCTCGGCCTCCCAAAGTGTTGGGATTACAGGTATGAGCCACTGTGCCCAGCAATTCATGGATTTCTATGGCGATCTGAAGATAACAAGCCCTCCCACAGCAAGACTTGAAAGAAAATGGGAAGAAAAAGATTCACTGGGGCTTTGCAGTGGAAGCAGCCTGCTACTGCCAGGATCCAATTCTGCTTTGCATTCTGACTTGGGTGTAAAATGCAAAAATCAAAGCAGAAGGGTCTTTTTTCCCTCCCCACCCATCCACAGAAGCCACTATTTATATCAAGCACCTACCCTCATCACATATTGTATCGGTGTTTTCCCCAAAAAACATCTGGTTTCAAAGACTGAAATGTAGGGCTAAAATACACACCGTACCATTTTTTTGGGGGGAGACATGGTCTCACTGTGTCACCCAGCTTAGAGTGCAGGGCTCCTAGGCTCAAGTGACCTGCCCACCTCAGCTTTCTGAGTAGCTAGGACTGCAGACATACACCACCATGCTTGGCTAATTTTGCTTTTTGAGACAGTCTTGCTGTGTCGCCAGGCTGGAGTGCAGTGGCGTGATCTCGGTTCACTGCAATCTCCACCTTCTGGGTTCAAGCAATTCTCCTGCCTCAGCCTCCTGAGCAGCTGGGACTACAGGTGCGCACCACCACACCCAGCTAATTTTTATATTTTTTAGTAGAGATGGGGTTTCACCATGTTGGCCAGGATGGTCTCAAGCTCTTGACCTTGTGATCCAACCGCCTTGGCCTCCCAAAGTGTTGGGATTACAGGCATGAGCCACCACGCCCAGCCTTCTTTTTGTTTTTTTTTGTAGAGATAGGGTCTCACTATGTTGCCCAAGCTGGTCTTCAACTCCTGGGCTCAAGTGATCTGCCCACCTTGACCCCCAGAGTGCTGGGATTACAGGTGTGAGTCACTACACATTACAATTAATACAAACCTACTTGTTAGGAGAGATGGTTTGTAAGTAGGTTGACATCTGTTTTGCTTCCTGGTCAAGCAATGCTTGAAGCTGACCATCTCCCACTCCATCTCGATACACAATAATAGAACGTGGCATTGATGATTCGTTTTCACACCAGACATCCAGGGCAGCTGAGAGGGAAATCAGAAACTTGTTTAAATAACCCGTAACTTGAAACAAACTAGCCTTTGCTGCTTTTGACAGATTCTAGGTCCATCTTTCAACACTGCAGCTTTCAGGGCATACTACTTTAAGTCCTATCTATTCCAGGGTTCCTCAGCAACAGCGCTATGGAAGTTTTGATCCAGAGAATGATTTGTGGTGGAGGCGGGGTTCAACCCAGGCATGGGAGGATGTTTAGCAGCATCTTTGTCCTCTACCCACTAGACTAAATGCCGGTAGCACCTCCACCCCAGCTGTGATACCAAAAATGAAAGGTTCAGTCATTACCAAGTGTCCTCTGGAGGTGACAGATCACTGGGGGAGAGCTACAAGACACTGACCTTTCAAGCAGGTGTGCAGCTCATTCACAAGCTCTTCTCCTGTGGCCTGGATGACACACTGAGAGTACCACCTGGTCACAGAAAAAAATAAACCACCAGTTTGGAAAACAAGATTCTTAAAGTCTCATTTTGAGTCTGCATTAATCTATGAGCCAAAAAAAAATATATATATATATATTACTCTCTGTAGTTGGAGACATTTTAGCATCAATTCCTATTTCCACAGAGATAATAAATATTGGTCTCTTTTGATGCCGTAGGCATTTCAGGAAATTGAGTACATATAGTGAAACAGAATGGAAGCATTTAGTCACATTACTACAAATTAATCACACCTTATTGTACAAGACAACTAGTTTCGCCTACGAGGGGAATGCAATGAAATGAAAGTCCTGTGCTCCCGATGGTTCCTGCTTCGGGATCAATACCCTGAACAGTGGCTCGTACGTGTTCCTCGTCACTGAGGAACGGGTTTGCCTTGGAATGGTGGTGGCTGTTGCGACAACTTCAACATACCCAGTAAAATTGTATGTTGCCTCAGGTTTCTATCCCGTTACTGCAGAGTAATCCCATCTGACCACCTGACATATTGTGATGGATTTGTCTGTCTTCTCACTAGGATTAATCCACAGGGTATGGCCAGGCACCTTAGCTCCACTTGTTCACTGCCACAGTGTCAGCATCTGAACATGGTGACCACTCAGAGTCTGTTAACAGCTCCAGTGATGATCTGGCTTGTAATGATGGTCTCTGCTTTCTTTCTTGAGACAGAGTTTAGCTCGTGTTACCCAGGCTGGAGTGCAATGGCGCGATCCCGGCTCACCGCAACCTCCGCCTCCTGGGTTCAGGGGTCTCTGCTTTCTTGGGTTTGGAGTAAACAACTGTAATATTTACTTAGCTATTTGTGTTTCTCTCTGTTCAAGGTATCGGCTATTTTCGTAATTGTTTGGAAGTTTTTCCTCTCCTCGATTGGAAAGATTATATTTTACACTATTAAAATAAGTTTATTACTTGAAAAAAGCATCTAACTCAAAGTATAATTTTCCCCATGATTGCAACATTATTTTCAAACAAAAAGTTGAGCAAAAACAGTGTTATCACATTGAAACAGCGTATGACTGGGAAAAAGTCATCATCTACAGAAATAAATTTGGTCTTAAAGAGATTTCTGAATTGTACCCAGGGGCCACAATCATTATTAAACACAGAGGTGATTTACAATGGTCACACATCGAGTAACGTGCAAAGGACTGCAAACTTATTTCAAGGTGCAGTGTGGTTTCTACTGAGAACAGAAAATAGAGGGGCCCTGGGAGCAAAGGAGAGCACAGGATTTAGACACGCATCTCCTTTCGCGAGTACATCATGTGCAAGTATATGAAGACGAGATTCTGTACTTACAGATCTCTGGCCACTAATTATGTTTCAGTGTCTCTTTACCCATGCACATCTGAAATATTTCACTATGTGTTAATGATCTCCATTAAAGACATTTACCCATCAGAGCGATGGTAGGCAGAATTCTACCTGTTCTAATCCCTGGAGCCTGTGATTATAGCAGGATCCCACCCCTGTGATTATGTTATATGCTATACGGCTCAGTTGGCTTCATGATGACAGTTTTCCAAATGGGTCATTTGTAATCACATGAGCTCCTCTAAAAGCAGGAATGTTTTTTCTGGCTGATGGCAGAAGTCAGTTTCAAAACAGAGTAAGGGCTCAATGTGCGCTGGCTGGCTGGAAGATGGAGAAGGGTTTGCTATGGGAGAGAAGCCAGGACTGGCCTGCAGCTGAAAGCCGATGACAACAAAACAGGGACCTCTGTCATCCAACCACAAAGAAACGGATTCAGCCACAACGACATGAGCTTGGAAGAGGAGGGCTGCCAAGCCTCCAGATGATAATGTGGATTGGCTGACACCTTAATTTATGCCTTGTAAGGTCCTGAGAGTTATACACTACCACATGTCTGATCAGAAGAACTGTGCAGATGGGCGTTGTCAGAAACTGCCACATTTGTGGTATGTGAGGCAGCAATAGAAAATAACGTGGAGCCAGCCAACCATGCAAAACTTTCTGGGAACGTAACTTTGCCAGAAAAATCCGGAGAACACGTGACTAATAACTCATCTGTCAAACTCCCAACCTCTTAACAAATAGTAATTAGGCTCGTCTCTTCTGCTTGGTCCACGAACAGCTACCAACCAAACAACGTCTGCCAGAGCTTACTTACTTGGTTAACTCGGCATTCGTACTTGCCACAAATCCCGCTATGGATTTTTGTCGATTAACAATATCATGGAAACAATCGATGCCAATGAACATTGTTCTTTGTACCTTGAGTTAGAATGTGAGCAAAATTTCAGCATTAACAATTAAGAGAGAACCTCACGTTTTATCAGCTCTAAGTTAAACAGTCAATGAAATATAACATACATTTGTCTCCACCTTCCAGAGAGCTCCTCCCATCTTGCAATTCATCTGCTGGGCAATCTTGGTGACGATAGTCTTTGCCTGGACCTTCTCGATGGTCTTTTTCACCACACATTGGCTTGGAATTGGGAATGTGGTACACAGGTATTTTTTTATGTGGTCATATCTGTATTTGTCATCATCGGGCAGGATACAAATCACCTTGAAAACCAGCACACATGGTATTTCTTAAGATACAGCAGTGATACAGGAAAGAAAAACCATCTGGAGCAAGCAACTTAGGTGGAAGACGGACAAGCTAGAGTCAATTTATTAGGAAAATATTTGAGTCCAAGAGGGTGAAGTGTCTAGAGCCATGTTATTAATTATAACAGTTATATCAGTTTATAATATATTTATATTAGAAAATTATAGTTATAATTATTAGTTACATTAAACAATTAGAAGGGCGAATGTGTGGAAGAAACAAAATAACATTATAAACTATAACATTAATTTGCTCTAAGTGTTTAAATCATAGTGTTATAAATTTGCTTAATGTTATAAATTATTATAAATGACAGCAATTGCTGCAAGAGGCGATTTGGCAATATACATCAACTGCTTAAGCCTGCCATATCACTGCCATCCGACTGTTCAGTTTCCAGGAACTTATCACCATGTTGACAAGGATGGATTAAAATCAGGCTGAAGGATACAATGGTCAGGACAGTCACTATTTATGAGACTATCACAAAGAGGAGAAACGGGGGAAAAAACCACTTAAGGCAGGGCCTTGGTAAAATTCTTTTAAACAACCTGAAAAATCAAGCTGCAGCTGCACAGATAAGGGAGCAAGGCCCAGCACAGAAATGCCTTTGTTCTCTGTGCAATCTGCAGGCTCCAGGAGAAAGTTTCCTCCCCTTCTATGGACAGGTACACACTGTGGGCTCCATGGGCACTTGCACAAGGGGGAGGTTTGGCTGAGACATGCCTGTAGCTGCACAGATAAGGGAGCAAGGCCCAGCACAGAAATGCCTTTGTTCTCTGTAATCTGCAGGCTCCAGGAAAGTTTCCTCCCCTTCTATGGACAGGTACACACTATGGGCTCCATGGGCACTTGCACAAGGGGGAGGCTTGGCTGAGACATGCCTGCAGCTGCACAGATGAGGACAGTTGCACAGACAGCAATACAGGGAAATTTCTTATAAAAGCTTTTGTGTTCAATGGTAAAGTGGCAGCCCTCTCAGGCCCCCTCTCTGCTGCAGAGAGCTTTCCTCTTTTGCTCCAACCTTACCCTTGGTGTCCACACTACTAAATTTTCTTGGCCATGAAACAAAGAGCTCAGATAACACCTCGCACGATGAGACAGCTTCATCAGGATGTGTAAGGCACTCGCCGAGCGGTTTCCTTGGCAAAGTGAATACTTTCAGCAACCCACTCAGATGAGTAGTAGTGTTCCCATTTTACTGCTGAGTAAGCAAACTCAGGAGTTACGGAAATTGCCTGAGTTCCACGGTTTCAAATACTGGGTTGGATCTCCAGTAGGAAAGAAAGCAGTTAGGAAGACCGGCTACTAATGGGGCTATTCCTGACTTTCTTGGGAAAATAATGATTAAGCATCATCATGTTAGAAATAATTTAAGTACATTTTTGGCAGACATCTTTTATCAGATTAAGGACATTCTTTTCTTATTCTAGACTGTTTTTCTTCCTTTCACATGAAAGGATGCAGATTTTCAAATGCATTGTCTACATTGAGAAGTATTTGTCCCATAGTTCAGACTAAATCATTTGCATTTTTTCTAAAGGTGACCTATTTCAAATTTTCAAATGACTGCCACATAGCTTTTGGTGGTTCAGTATTTCATTAATCGCTAGTGAATCTATGCTAATGAATTATACTTGTTTCTATTTTTTTAGCCTTAGTCATTTTCAGTCTGACAATATCAAATTTTCATATTTTCAAAGGACCGGCTTTTAATGTTTTGGTTTACAGATGAGTGGTGAGATTAGAACTATGCGTACAGATTAGAAAACGGCGTTATCCCTCAATATTAATTTTCTTAACTGGATAACATGTTAAGAGTATGTCTCTGTTTTTAAAATACGCATTGACATATTTAGAGATTAATGGAGCAGCATATCACACATACATACGCATACATAGTAACTACATGAATTACAATCATATGCATATGGTAGAGAAAAACTACGATTATACAAATGTGGTAAAAAAGGGTATTTGTATTATTTTTCTAATTCTTCCTATAAGTCTGAAATTACACTAAAATATAAAATTAAAGGGAATAAAAGTTTCTAAATATGTAGAAAAAAAATAAATGGAAGGTTTAGATTGGATTCATGCATAATTTTTTTGAGATGGAGTCTTGCTCTGTCGCCCAAGCTGGAGTGCAGTGGCATGATCTTGCAACCTCCACCTCCCGGATTCAAGGGATTCTCCTGCCTCAGCCTCCTGAGCAGTTGCGAGTATAGGTGTGTGCCACCACATCTGGCTAATTTTCTGTATTTTTAGTAGAGACGGGGTTTTACCATTTAATCGAGATGGTCTCGATCTCCTGACCTCATGATCCACCAGGCTTGGCCTCCCAAAGTGCTGGGATTACAGGCGTAAACCACCATGCCCGGCCGCATAATAATTTTAAACAGAACATTTGTAAGATTTTCTGTTTAAAATTATGAGGACGGTGTCCCCAACTGGCATTTTTATTGCAAATGTCTGATGTTCAGAAATGAGTGATTAATATTAAATGCAAAGAGACTATTTTTTATTCTCGTAGCCTTAATACTAGATCTGTTTCACTTCCTGTAAAGAAAGCTGTAACCTGAATATACTTTTGTGGCAGGCCAGTTTTCACTAACGCAGGCCTCCATCACAACTCTTCAGTACTGAGTGGTTAAGTTAAATATTAAAAGCTAAAAAAGCCAGTGCCCTTAGACAAAGGCTGGAATGTAGCAAAAGCTCACCATGAGTTTTGCCTAGGCCTTTCCTGGGCCTCAAAGCATGACAAAATAATGAATGAATTCTTAACAGGACCCATTTAGGATTAGACAAGTTTTACTGGGAGTCTGAAAAAACTCCCCAGGTCTCTCCACAAACAGGTTTATTGGAGGTCTGCAGGAACTCCCCAAACCTCCATAATTTATCAGGAGACAAGATAAGGGTAATCACCCCAGCACCTGGGCCCATTTAGATTAAGTACATTTACTAAGACTCCAGAGGAAGGTCTTCAGAACTCAGATCTCAGTTGTAGATGAAAAGTTAATCACTTATGTCTTTAGACAAATGCACACTTAAGCATAGACATGTAGCTTAGAAGGTTTTCTAAGCCCTGAAAAATTTTGTAATTTTGAGTTGGTCTGGGGACAATTTCCAGGCCTCCTCCTTAGAACTAGTTACATAAATAAAAACTCCCTTCCACTCCAGTTCATCTGCATCTCATTATTGTGCAGCAGGAAACAGCAGCCCCACCCTCAGTTTGGTCTGGGAACACTTTCATTTCCTCTATTTCTGCCTTACAGATTCCAACTCACATTTATAGGATTTTAATTCTTTTTTGTGTGTGGGATGGAGCTTTGCTCTTGTCGCCCAGGCTGGAGTTCAGTGGCACAGTCTTGGCTCACTGCAACCTCCGCCTCCCAGGTTCAAGCGATTCTCCTGCCTCAGCCTCCCAAGTAGCAGGGACTACAGGCATGCACTACCATACCCGGCTGCTTTTGTGTTTTTGAGTAAAGACAGGGTTTCGCCATGTTGGCCAGGCTTGTTTCGAACTCCTGACCTCAAATGATCCACCTGCTTCAGCCTCCTAAAGTGCTGGAATTATACAGGTGTGAGCCACTGCACCTGGCAGGATTTTAATTCTTTGTTATTCATATACACGTGTTTCCTCATCTTGACTCATTTAAAATACTGATCTGCAGCTGGGCACAGTGGCGCATGCCTATAATCCAGCACTTTGGGAGGCCGAGGCAGGTGGATCACGAGGTCAAGAGATTGAGACCATCCTGGTCAACAAGATGAAACCCCGTCGCTACTAAAAACACAAAAAATTAGCTGGGCATGGTGGCGCATGCCTGTAATCCCAGCTACTCGGGAGGCTGAGGCAGGAGAATTGCCTGAACCCAGGAGGCGGAGGTTGCGGTGAGCCGAGATCGCGCCATTGCACTCCAGCCTGGGTAACAAGAGCTAAACTCCTCCTCAAAAAAAAAAAATAATAAATAAAATAAAATACTGATCTGCAAGCCGTCTGTGCCTGCCATAAAGAAAACACATCCCCAAACATCAAGTACTTGTGAATGTCTGGTAGTGTTATTACACCAGTCATATTTGTGAAGGTCACATTTTAAGTACAACCTAAATATGTGGCCTGCTATCTTTTTATTACATCAGCCTACTATATTACACAGCCTTGTTCTGCTCCTGCCTGATGCCAGTCTTTGAAATCCGAGTCACATGAATCTTGATTCCGACTTACATACAGAATCCCATTCTATTGCTGGTCTATGGAGATTTCCATCTGCACTTTTAAAATTTTATAAGTGGTTGTTAGTCCCTATTTCATGGATCATTTCCAACTATTTGGGCCACACAAGATTGTGGCTATGCTTCCCCCATGCCATCTGACATAATGTCTTAAAATATTTAAGGGAATATCTTGAGAAAGAAATTGTTCCAAAAAGCCAATATAGGATGATTAAATGAATAAAAGTGGGACAAGTTCCTCTTCAAGCAGTAAAAGACCTTTGAAGAAAGCCCCACATTGAAAAAGGTAACCTTGAGCTTTTCAGGCAGATGCCAAGCGAGCAAGAAAATTCCTGTTATGAAAATAAGCTGGGGTCGGGCACGGTGGCTCAAGCCTGTAATCCCAGCACTGTGGGAGGCCGAGGCGGGTGGATCACGAGGTCAAGAGATCAAGACCATCCTGGTCAAAATGGTGAAACCCCGTCTCTACTAAAAATACAAAAAATTAGCTGGGCATGGTGGCGCGTGCCTGTAATCCCAGCTACTTAGGAGGCTGAGGCGGAAGAATTGCCTGAACCCAGGAGGCGGAGGTTGTGGTGAGCCGAGATCGCGCCATTGCACTCCAGCCTGGGTAACAAGAGCGAAACTCCGTCTCAATAAAAAAAAAAAAAAGAAAAAAGAAAAAAAAGTAAGCTGGAATTCAAACAGCTGCCAAAGTCCCTTTACTCTGATTCTAATCCTAGAATGGGATGATGCTTTGCTGGTTCCCAGTGGGGCCTTCTCTTACCCTAGAGGGGGCTAGGAAAAAGAATAATACAGTACTCAAGTAACAAGAAGCGAGAAATAAAAAGTCCAACAGGACTTCAAAACAAAGACATTAGATTTCAGAATGTGTATGGCTCAGATAAGGTGTTACATAAAGCCTAGGCTTTATGTAAAACACAATAGGAAAACATCTTCTGGCTTCATGGTCAAGAAACAGACACCTCTAGCCCTCAAGATGATCCTGGGGGAAGAAAGAAAATGAACTAGGGTAAAGAACCCAAGAAAGAACAAATTTGCTTTAGTAATTCAGATACAACATAATGACAAGTTGGTCTAAGATGCTGGATAGAAGAAACGAAAGAATAGGCTCCTAGAAAAATAACAGACAAGTACCCGGCGCGGTGGCTCACGCCTGTAATCTAGCACTGTGGGAGGCTGAGGCAGGCTAATCACTCGAAGTCAGGAGTTTGAGACCAGCCTGGCCAACATGGTGAAACCCCGTCTCTACTAAAAATACAAAAATTAGCTGAGCATGGTGGCAGGTGCCTGTAATCCCAGCTACTCGGAAGGCTGAGGCAGGAGAATTGTTTGAACGGGGAGGTAGGTTACAATGAGCTGAGATCACACCACTGCACTCCAGCCAGAGCTGTGGAGCAAGACTCCATCCCCCACCCCCACCAAAAAAAAAGAAAGAAAAATACCAGGCAAGGAGAGTAACACAGGCTAGAAGAATGTGATCACAGACTTGGCAGGTTATACCTGGGGATAAATGTAATGAATGTGGCGATTATTAATATCCATTACCACTTTACATTTATGTGGTGGTTTTTTTTTTTTTTTTGAGATGGAATCTTGCTCTGTCGCCCAGTCTACAGTGCAGTGGAGCAATTTTGGTTCACTGCAAGCTCTGCCTCCTGGGTTCAAGCGATTCTCCTGCCTCAGCGTCCTGAGGAGGTAGATTACCGGTGCCTGCCACCACGCCTGGCTAATTTTTCTATTTTTAGTAGAGATGGGGTTTCCCCATCTTGGCCAGCCTGGTCTCAAACTCCTGACCTCATGATCCACCCGCCTTGGCTTCCCAAAGTCCTGAGATTACAGGCGTGAGCCACTGCACGCAGGCTATATGGTGTGTTTTTTCAAGTTAGCAGATTTTAAAAGTAATTACACAACTTCAAGCGTGAGAAAATTAGCATACGATTGTGATATTCAGGAATAGCTAAGGCATGCAAGTGTGTATTCCACTGTATTATGCAGGTTAATCTGCTTTCGTTGGCAAGTTCAGGAAACCAACGACAACATTTTGAATTCTAAAATACTTATTAAAATGAGAACAATAACTAAAGACTGTGCATGTATCAACTAGACACTTACCATCTGCAGTGCTGATCTAGTATATTTCCGTAATATGTTTGTATAGGAGTCAGCATGTCCAGCTACTTCAATCCTAGAAAATATAGCATCCATATTGAAAAGGTACTGACCAGTGAAACATGATAAACATTTAACACAGCAAACTAAATACAAAATAAGACTTGATAAAATGCCAAGATATGCATTTCAGTTGCAAGTATGTTTAAAAGAAAAAAGGGATGAGTTCGTGTCCTTTGTAGGGACATGGATGAATCTGGAGAACATCACTCTCAGCAAACTGACACAAGAACAGAAAATGAAATACCGCATGTTCTCACTCATAGGCAGGTGATGAACAATGAGAACACATGGACAAAGGGACGGGAGCACCACACACTGGGGTCTATTGGGGGACTAGGGGAGGGACAGTGGGGGTGGGGAGTTGGGGAGGGATAGCCTGGGGAGAAATGCCAGATATAGGTGAAGGGGAGGAAGGCAGCAAATCACACTGCCAAGTGTGTACCTATGCAACTATCTTGCATGTTCTGCACATGTACCCCAAAACCTAAAATGCAATAAAATAATAATAATAATAATAATTTTAAAAAAAAGAAAAAAGGACAGCAGACTTTCAGTTTCCGATTCTACTTGTAAGGAGCTTTGAAGTCACTATACTGTGCTAACAGCAAGTCAAAAGCTAAACAGATTGAAACAAATGAACAGCTCTCTGAGGATTTTCAAGATGTGAGGACACACAGGGCAAATCACTGCCTCCAGTATTGGTGAGACAAATGGGCAAAAACAAGGAGTCCTCGCCAGCCGGAGCAAAGACTCTGGAAACTTCCCAGGGAAACAGTTCCCGGGTCAGGTGACTTGAACTGTAACTGATGAGTGACTGCAGCCTCGGCATGGACAACTGTGAGGGCTCAAAACTCCAGGTATTCCCAGTCATAGGAGGGTCCCCACAATTTTGAGAGTTTTACCTCTAGGAGCTTGATGAGGTTCTCACAGTAAATACCAGAGGAAAATTGTTTAGTGTTTCCAGCAGGAGGAGGGAAAAAAACGATTTTAAGATATGTCAGAGCCCTGTGTTCCTAACAGGGCCTGCCCTCAGGAGAAGCTAGTTAACCAGAACCTAACCTTTAAAAAAAAAAACAAAAAAACACTTAAGTTCAGGTGTACACATGCAGATTTGTTATACAGGTAAACTTGTGCCCTGACGGTTCGTTGTACAGATGATTTTATCATCCAAGTACTAAGTGAGAGATGCCAAGGCTGAGAAGACTACATACTGTATGATTCTAACTAGATCATATTCTACTTTTTATTTTATTTTTTATTTTTATTTATTAGTTTTTGAGACAGAGACTCTGTCGCCCAGGCTGGAGTGCAGTGGTGCGATCTCAGCTCACTGCGACCTCCGCCTCCTGGGTTCAAACGATTCTCCTGCCTCAGCCTCCTGGGTAGCTAGGATTACAGGCATGTGCCACCACACCTGGCTAATTTTTTGTATTTTTAGTAGAGACAGGGTTTCACTGTGTTAACCAGGCTGGTCTCGATCTCCTGACCTCGTGATCCACCCACCTTGGCCTCCCAAAGTGTTGGGATTACAGGCATCAATCAGCCAACACACCCAGCCCCCCCCTTTTTTTTTTGTGAGACAAGTCCCGCTCTGTTGCCAGGCTGGAGTGCAGTGGCACCATCTCAGCTCACTGCAACCTCCAACTCCCAGGTTCAAGCGATTCTCTTGCCTCAGCCTCCTGAGTAGCTGGGATTACAGGCGACTGCCACCATGCCTGGCTAATTTTTTTGTATTTTTTAGTAGAGATGGGGTTTTGCCATGTTGGCCAGGCTGGTCTCGAACATGGGGTTTTGCCATGGTGGCCAGGTGACCTCAGGTGATCCACCCACCTCGGCCTCCCAAAGTGCTGGGATTACAGGTATGAGCCATTGCGCCTAGCCTAGATGACGTTCTAAAAAGGCAAAACCATGGAGACAGTTGATTAAAAAAAATAGCGGTCCTCAGAGGCTGTGGTGCAGCAGGAGGTAGTGGTAGGAAGGGATAATTAAGTGAAGCACAGAAGACTTTTAGGGCAGCGAAAAATACTCTGCACAAACCAATGGTGGATACCTGTCATATACATTTAGCCAAACCAGTAGAACAAACAACTTCAAGAGTGAACCCTACTGTGAACTATGGATTTTGGATGATGATATTTCAATGTAGGCTCATCAGTTGCAACAAATGTACCACATTGGTAGGGGGTGTTGACGGGGGAGGCTGTGCATTATTGGTGGCAGGATATATATGAGAAGTCTCTCTAACTTCTTAATTTTGCTGTAAACCTAAAACTGCTCTAGAACACTTTTTAAGTTCCATTTTTAGGAACTTGACTGAGAATTCTTAGTATTCTCCCATCCATTCACATCAAGTTCTTAATTCTCATACGTTCTTCAACATGTATCTTAATAGCCACAAACCATATATCACAAAGTCTGTTTTAATATTTGTTGGCCGGGTGCGGTGGCTCACGCCTGTAATCCCAGCACTTTGGGAGGCCGAGGCGGGTGGATCACGAGGTCAAGAGATCGAGACCATCCTGGTCAACATGGTGAAACCCTGTCTCTACTGAAAATACAAAAAATTAGCTGGGCATGGTGGCGCATGCCTGTAATCCCAGCTACTCAGGAGGCTGAGGCAGGAGAATTGCCTGAACCCAGGAGGCGGAGGTTGTGGGGACCCGAGATCACACCATTGCACTCCAGCCTGGGTAACAAGACCGAACTCCGTCTCAAAAGAAAAAATTTGTTGACTAAAGATTAGATTTTCTTTTGGGTATATACCCAAAAGAAAATCTAATCTTTAGTCAACAAATTTTTTCTTTTGAGACAAATGTGGGTGAAGGGGAGAAGGAAAGAAAAGCACACTGCCATGTGTGTTCCTACGCAACTGTCTTGCATGCTCTGCTCATGTACCCCAAAACCTAAAATCCAATAAAAAATTTAAAAAAAAAAAGAAAAAGATTAGATTTTACAGACTTTTAAGGTTTTGATACAGTGACCAATTCCTACAATTTAAATTTTCATTATTATACTTTAAGACTGTTAACCAGTTTTCAAATTGGAAGTAGTTTCTGCTCCACTTACATATGTGCTGGTCTCATCGTTATGCCCATGGGGGCTGTGACATGATATAGATAATCCTTTAAGATCATGGCTTCTCTAAAACATTCATTGTTATAGAGCAGGAGCCAACTATGTAGTGGCACTGGACTAAGTAAGGGGACTTCTCTTACTTCTCTTGCCCACTCTCCATTTGCATTGGCTCGAACCTGGAAAAGAATGATAAGACATGGTATAAAACTTTAAAGATCAACCTGAGATCCTGTACACTGTAAATCTGTGCTATCTCCTTTTGAAATGTTACAATTATCAACTTGAATGGCCAATTTAGGTGTTTTTTTTTTCTCATTAAGACATAGGTTAATAGGACTGAAATTCCTAGGTGTTAAAATTTTTAATTGAGAGGCCATTGCAGGGGGCAGTGAGGGCGGGATGGCTCCAGAGCTTTAGGTTCCTATGTAGCTATGTAGGCAAAGCAAACCCCAACGTCAACAGTAAAACAAAGCTAAAGACTTTACCAATCAGAAACTACCAACTACCAACTAGGGTCCTTCCACTCTGATAGATCAGATGCATTGTGTCCTGTTTCGCATCAGCCTATAAAGTTCACCGCTCACACTGCTGTAGCAGAGCTCTCTGAACCACTTCCGATTCTGAGTGCTGCACAATTCATGAATTAGTCTTTGTGCAAACAAACTTTTGGTTTGAAGTTTCTTTTGGAGCTGTTCAATGCTGTTGGAGTCAGACTGGCTCTTCATACGGTTCTATAACAGCACATGCTTCCTAAAAATTTAGTCTTTTGGTGGGAACTTTATTCCAGGAAGGAATGACCCTTAAAATTTATTTACCAGGCTGGGCATGGGGCTCATGCCTGTAATCCCAGCACTTTGGGAGGCTGAGGCGGGTGGACCACAAGGTCAGGAGATTGAGACCATCCTGGCCAAGAATGGTGAAACCCTATCTCTACTAAAAATACAAAACTTAGCTGGGTGTGGTGGTGCGGGCCTATAATCTCAGCTACTTGAAAGGCTGAGGCAGGAGAATGGCTTGAAACTGGGAGGCAGAGGTTGCAGTGAGCCGAGATCGCACCACTGCACTCCAGCTTGACAACAAAGCAAGACTCCATCTCAAAAAAATTAACCAAGGATAGAGCAAGATGGCCAAATAGAGTTCCAGTAACCATCCCTACAATAGGAAGACTAAGTTTGACAACTATCTGTATACACAGGGAGCAACTTCATAGGAACCAAACATCAGGTAAACACGCAGTATCTGGTTTTTACTTCATATTGCTGAAAGAGGCACTAAAGGTAGGAAAAACAGTCTTCAGTTGCTGACGTCACCCTTCTCCCACCGCTGCATGGTGGGGAGAACCTGTGCACTTGGGAGAGGGAAAGCACAGTTGCTACTGTGAGGCTTTGCATTAAAATCAACACTGTCCTGTCACAGCACAAAGCGCAACAGGGCCGTACTCAGCGGATACCTGCTGATAGGGGGAATATTTGATTCTGGCCCTAGCCAGAAGGGAATTGCCCATCCCAGTGGTCAGAGTTCGAGTTCTGGGAAGCCTCACCATTATGGGCTGGAGTGCTCTGTGGTCCTAAGTGAACCTGAGAAACAGTCTAGGCCACAAAGACTGCAATTCCTAGGCAAGTCCTAATGCTGATCTAGTTCAGAGCGGGTAGACTGAGGGTGGAGGGGTAGGGGACAGGATCTATGGAGACACCAGCCAGGGTAGCGAGAGAGTGCTTGCATCACCCCTCCCCCAACCCAAGGCAGCACAGCTCAAAGCTCCAATAGAGACCCCTTCTTTCTGCTGAAGGAGAAAAGAGGGGAGAGTAAAGATTTTGTCTTGTAACCTTGGATACCAGCTCAGCTACAGTAGGATAGGACAACAGTCAGGATTGCGAGGCCCCCATTCTGGGCCCTAGCTCTTGGTTGATGTTTGTAGACATACTCTGGGCCAGAAGGGAAACCTGCTGCTTTGAAGGGAAGGACCCAGTCCAGGCAGGATTCATCAGCTAATGACTAAAGAGCCCTTGGACCCTGAAGAACCAGCAATAATACCAGGTAGTATGTTGAGGACCTTGGGTAGACTCAGGCGTGCTGGCTTCAGGCGAGAACCAGCATATTTCCAGCTGTTGTGGCTCCGGGGAGAGACTTCTGCTTGAGAAAAGTAGAGGGAAAAGTAAAGGAGACTTCGTCTTGCACCTTAGGTACCAGCTCAGCCACAGTGGGGTAGAGCACCAAGCAGGCTTTTGGGATCCCCAATCCCAGGTCTTGGCTCATGATGGCATTTCTGGACCTTCCTTGGGCCAAAGTGGAGCACGCTGCCCTGAAGGGTGATTCCTAGGCCTGGCAGCATTCACTGCAAGCTGACTGAAGAGCCCATGGACCTTAACAGAACACTGGCAGTAGCCTAGCAACACTCCCTATGGGCCTGTGGTGGTGGTGGAGGGTCCTCTATGTGTAGAAAGAGAAGGGGGCCAGGTGCGGTGGCCCATGCCTGGAATCCCAGGACTTTGGGAGGCCGAAGCAGGTGGATCACTTGAGGTCAGGAGGCTCAACAGAGAGAGACAGAAAGTAAGTGAAGAAGAGTCTCTGCCTGGTAATCCAGAGTCTTCTGGATCATATCAAGACCACCAAGGTGTTATCACTATGAATCTGTGAGAACCATAGCATCACTGTGCTTGGGATGTCCCCTGATGCCGATATGACTTAGATCACAATACCCAAGTCCTTTTGAATACCTGGACAGCCTTCCCAAGGAAGATGAATACAAACAAGACCGGATGGCAAAGACAACAGTGAAAAACCTCACTTTCAACGCCCAAACACTGATGAACTTCCCCAAGCATCAAGACCATCCAGGAAAACATGAACCTCAGCAAATGAACTAAATAAGGCACCAGGAGCCAATCCTGGAGAAACAGATATGTGACCTTTCAGACCATTCAAAACAGCTTTTTTGAGGAAGCTCAAAGAAATTCAAGATAACAGAAAGAATTCAGAATTCTAGCAGATAAATTCTACAAAGAGATTGAAATAATTAGAAAGATTTGGGTAGAAGTTGTGGAGTTGAAACATAAAACTGACATATTGAAAAATACATCAGAGTCTCTTAAGGGCAAAATTAAATCAAGCAGAAGAAAAAGTTACTGAGCTCCAAGACAGGCTATTTGAAAATACGGAGTCAGAGGAGACAAAAGAAAACAAAGAAGCATGTCTACAAAATCTAGAAAATAGCCTCAAAAGGGCAAAGAAGTCTGAGTGTCACTGTCCTTATAGACGAGGTACACAAAGAAATAATGGTAGAAAGTTCACATGGTAAAAAGAGAAGAGAACTTCCCAAACCTAGAGAAAGATATCAATGTCTAAGTATAAAGCGGTTACAGCAGATTTAACCCAAAGACAACTACTTCAAGGCAATCGATAGTCACATTCCCAAAGGTCAAAGATAAAGAAAGGATCCTAACAGCGTCAAGAGAAGAACTACATAGAATGGAGCTCCAATACATCTGGCAGCAGACTTTTCTGTGGAAACCATACAGCCCAGGAGAGAATAGCATGACATATTTAAAGTGCTGAAGGAAAAAAAAAAAGTAACATACCCAATGTATGTATACATAGACCTAGAATAATATACCAAGTAAAAATATCCTTCAAACATGAAGGAGAAAGACTTTTCCAGACAAACAAAATCTGAGGGATTTCCTCAACACTAGTTCTGCCCTACAAGAAATGCTGAAAGGGGTACTTCAATCAGAAAAAAAGAAAAAGACATTAAGGAGCAATAAGAATTCATGTGAAGGTACAAAACTCACTGGTAATAGTGCACAGAAAAATAGTGCACAGAAAAACAACATTATAACACTAACTGTGGTATATAAACTACTCTTTTTTTTTTTTTGAGACGGAGTTTCGCTCTTGTTACCCAGGCTGGAGTGCAATGGCGCGATCTCGGCTCACCGCAACCTCCGCCTCTTGGGTTCAGGCAATTCTCCTGCCTCAGCCTCCTGAGTAGCTGGGATTACAGGCACGCGCCACCATGCCCAGCTAATTGTTTGTATTTTTTTTTTTTTTTTTTTTTTATTAGAGACGGGGTTTCACCATCTTGACCAGGATGGTCTCGATCTCTTGACCTCCTGATCCACCTGCCTCGGCCTCCTAAAGTGCTGGGATTGCAGGCTTGAGCCACCATGCCTGGCCTTAAACTACTCTTAAGTAGAAATACTAAAAGGTCAACCAATCAAAAGTAGCAACAAAAATGTTAAGACACAGACTATACAATAAGATATAAATAGAAACAAGTTAAAAAACAAACACAAACACACAAACAAGTCTCAAATTTAAGAAAATCAAGATTATATCAAGTACTTTCTCAGACCATAGTAGAGAACGACTGGAAATCAGTTCCAAAAGGAACACCCAAAACCATGCAAATATGTGGAAATCAGATAACCTGCTCCTAAATGATCACTGGGTCAACAATGAAATCAGGATGGAAATTAAGTTATTTGAACTGAATAACAACAGTGACACAACCCATCAAAACCTCTGGAATACAGCAAAAGCAACACTAAGAGAAAAGCTCATAGCATTAAATGCCTACATCAAAAAGTCTGAAAGAGCACAAATAGACAATCTAAGGTTACACCCTCAAGGAACGAGAAACAAGAAGAAACCAAACCCAGCAGAGGAAAAGAAACGGGAAGTATCAGAAGAGTAGCACTAAATGAAATTGAAAACAAACAAACAAAAAAAAACACCCCAATAGATAAATGAAACAAAAAGCCGATTCTTTTGAAAGATAAATAAAATTGAGAGACCATTAGCAGGATTGAGAAAAGAGAGAAGATCTGAAAAAGCTCAACTGGAAATGAAACTGGAGATATTAAAACTGATACCACAGAAATCATTCGAGGCTACTATAAACACCTTTACACAAACTAGAAAACCTAGAGGAGATGGATAAATTCCTGGAACCGGAAACATGCAACCCCCCTAGATGAAACCAAGAAGAAATAGAAATTCTGAACAGGCCAGTAACAAGCAGTGAAATTGACATGGCAATATAACAATGCCACCAGAAACAGTCCAGGACCAGCTGGATTCACAGCTGAATTTTATCAGACACTCAAAGAAGAATTGATACCAATCCTACTGAAACTATTCCAAAAGACAGAGAAAAAAGGAATCCTCCCTAAGT